AAGTTGAAGGAATCAATTATGAGGAAACCTTCTCACTTACAGCCATGATTAAATTTATTAGGATTTTACTTGCTATTGCTGCATATTATGATTATGAGATATGGAAATGGAAGTAAAGATAGCATTCCTTAATAGGAATTTGCAAGAGGAAGTGTATATGACACAACCTAAAGGTTTTACACCCAAGGAGAATCAGCATAAAGTATACAAACTCCAAAAGTCTATTTACGGGCTAAAACAAGCATCTAAGAGCTAGAACATCAGATTTGATGAACTTATTAAAGAATATGATTTCGTTAAGAATCTTGATGATCCATGTGTTTTTAAGAAGGTAAATGGACAAGTAGTTGTATTTTTAGGACTTTATGTTGATGACGTACTATTAATATGAAATGATATACTGATGCCGTTGACTTTCAAAATCTAGCTATCCAAACAATTCTCCATGAAGGATTTGGGAGAAGCGGCCTATATTTTGGGAATCAATATCTATAGAGATGGATTAAAGAAGTTGCTAGGATTATTTTAATCCACTTACATAGACAAGGTGCTAAAGAGGTTTAACATGGCTGAGTCCAGAAAGGGACACTTGCCTATGTCACATGGCATTTATAAAGGATATGTGTCCAAAGACACAAGATAAGAGGATGAAGATGGATAGGATATTGTATGCATTGGCTATAGGTTCCATCATGTATGCCATGTTATGTACTAGACCAGATGTGGCATATGCTCTGAGTGTCACGAGCAAATACCAATCAAATCTAAGTGAGAATCATTGGATTGCAATGAAAAATATCCTGAAGAACTTACAAAGAACTAAGGATGTTTTTTTGGTCTATGGAGGGGCTGAACTCCAAGTTAAAGGATATGGAGATGCTGCATTCTAATCTAATAAGGATGATAGCAAATCGCAAAGTGAGTTTATATTTACCTTAAATGGTAGTACTATTAGTTGGAAAAGTTCCAAGCAAGCAACAACTACATATTCTACAACCGAGGTTGAGTACATCTTTACGTTTGAGGTAGCAAAAGAGGGAGTTTGGATCAAGAAGTGCATAACTGAACTTGATGTGGTTCCTAACATTATTGATCTTGTAACTTTGTACTGTGACAAAATGGAGCCATTGCACAAGCAAACGAATCGAGGTCTCATCGACGATCTAAACATGTATTGCAGCATTATCACCTGATCAAAGAGATCATTGGAAGAGGTGATATTAATATAAAAAGAGTACCCACAAAGGACAACTTAGCTGACACTCTCACTAAAGTTTTGTTCCAAAAGAAACATGATTGCCACTTGGAGGGCTTTGGTATTAGATACATAGGCAATTGGCTTTAGTGCTAGTGGGAGATTGTTAATGTAAGCCTTGCAAGCCAATCGATTTTGTGCTTCTAAAACATTACATTACTTAGTCATATTTCATGTTAAATACATTATGGATATTTTATATAATGTATGAGGTATTTCTTTATCCATGAGTTTATTTGTAAAGAGTTATGAGAGACTTATGTAGATAAAGTCCTTGGAACATAATGGCCTTGCAAAGAAATTATAAAGGTTATAATTATGAGATTATTATGCATCAGAGCCTTGTTCCTAAATATGTTCTTGGTCATTGCATTGTCAAGGATAAAGGCATTGATAATTTTCAAAGGTTAATACATGCTAAGCCTCTTTACTTTTGAAGTAAGCAATTGATCTTATAGGTTAAGTATGTGAGATACTTGAGGATAATACATAGGTGCTTGTTAAGGAGCAAGTTCACTGACCGTGACCCGCTATGAGAGTTCTATTGGGTATTTCACTCAAGTGTCTATGGAAATACTCTCATGTATTAGTAGTGTAAGTAATCATTAGACTTGTGATACTAAGTCATCTTGTATGTGAATTGTCATGCTTTGATTCCACTTCTACAAGTCTGGAGGTGACCAGATGCTTAAACAAGGTACTTTTGTGTATGACATGAAGCATGTGAAGATGAATGAGTAGTCCAAAGAGGATTCATCATCCCAAGTGATTTGAAAGGGATATTTCATTTGCTCCATGCTTATATTGATTAAAAGTCCTTGGCCAAGGCAACCTTGATAAGTCAATATAGAAGCTGTAGGACTAATATGGATAAGTTAGAAAGTAGACACCGAGTCAGGTTTTCTATCCATCTAGGATATATGATGAAATGATCAAATTACACTGAGATACTGTACACTGAAAGGTTAGTCAAATCATATTGACTCTTTTGGCATTTGGGTGGTCATGATGTATTATTAGATGCCGCTCATAATCTATAAATATAAATATAAA